TGACGGGGCGTGGCGTGGCAGGGGTGCAGGGCTGGTGGGCGACTGAGGCAGCGTGGTGGTGGTGGCGTGGCGAGGGGTGGGGCGTGGCCGTGGCGTGCGTGGCGTTGGCAGGGCGTGGCGTGCGGGAGGCCGGTGGGGGCGGGACACCAGGCAGCTGTGGACCCCGCGCCGAGCTGTCTTCGTTGAAGTGGACCAGAGGCTTCTGCGTCCGTAGAGACTTTTCCTTCCCTGAGCCCCGGGGCCGGGTGGGGGGCCCTCTGCTCCCCTCCACGGCGCTGTCTACCCTGCATCTGCCCAGGGAGAGTCGGCGTGGGCGGGGCCCACCTGTCACCTGTCACCTGTCAGGGGCGTCAGGGAAGGGAGGAGGCAGATGGGCAGGGTGGGCGCCGGCCGTTGGTGGGGAAGGGTCTCCCTGAGAAGCAGGGGACAGGAGCGCGAGGCCCGTCCCTCTAGGAAGGGCGGTCCAGGCAGCGGACGCGGCACGTGCAAAGGCCCTGAGGCTGGCCCGTGCCCGGCTGTCGGGGAACACTGGGGAGGCGGGAGTGGCTGCAGCTCAGGGCGTGAGGGGTGAGAAGGGGTGAGGGTGAGGTCAGGGGGGCCGGGGTCACCGGGTGGGGACTGGTGCAGGGACTAACAGGGTCCTCTGGGAGAGTGACCGTGGGAGTTCCCGGGTGGGACGCCTTCTCTGGTCCCTGTGAGATGTCATTTATGTTGTCCCTTTAACCCCCTTCATCCTTACAAGACACCCAGGGAATACGGGCCACTGAGTCCATTTTAAAGATAAGGAAACTGAGGCCCAAGGTCCCCAGCTTATGAGCTCCAGGGCTGGGGCCCAGACCCAGGTCATGGCCCCCAGCGGCCTTCTCCTCCGGCCTGGCCCCTGAGCCGCTGTGCTTCCAGGAGCTGCCCGAGATCGAGGGTGACGTTCTGGCTGTGGGCGGCCAGGCCCTGACCACCCAGGGCATCTACGAGGGTGTCATCCGGGAGGTCTTGCTGGCGAGGATCGACCGAGGTGAGCCCCGCCCGCCATCGCCCACGGAGCCTGGCGTCCCCTGGCCGTGTGTAACGAGCCCCACTGCTCACCTCCTGTGAACACTTGCCCTTTGACCCTTGCCCTTTGGGTCGGGACTGGGCCGGAGCTCAGAGGGGCAGTGGTGGAAGTTCCCTGCAGGAGGGGCCACTGGAGCGGGGCCGTGATGCAAGTGTAGGAGTTCTCAGGATGGAAAGGAGAGTTCAAAAACTAAGGATAGGCCGGGCATGGTGGCTCACGCCTGTAATCCTAGCACTCTGGGAGGCCGAGGGCGGCGGATTGCTCAAGGTCAGGAGTTCGAAACCAGCGCTGAGCGCGAGACCCGTCTCTACCAAAAATAGAAATAAATTAATTGGCAACTAAAAATGATATATTACAAAAAACTTAGCCGGGCATGGTGGCACATGCCCTGTAGTCCCAGCTACTTTGGGAGGCTGAGGCAGGAGGATCGCTTGAGCCCCAGAGATTGAGGTTGCTGTGAGCCAGGCTGACGCCATGGCACTCACTCTAGCCTGGGCAACAAAGTGAGACTCTGTCTCAAAAAAAAAAAAAAAAAAAAAAAAAAAAAAAAAACTAAGGATAGGCCAGGCGAGGTGGCTCACGCCTGCAATCCGAGCACTCTGGGAGGCCGAGGCGGGCGGATCGCTCTAGGTCAGGAGTTCGAGACCAGCCTGAGCAAGAGCGAGTCCCCATCTCCACTAAAAATAGAAAGAGATTAATTGGCCAACTAATATATACAGAAAAAACTAGCCAGGCATTGTGGCGCATGCCTGTAGTCCAGCTACTCTTGGGAGGACTGAGGAGGGAGGAATCAGCTTAGCCCCAGGAAGTTTGAGGGTTGCTGTGAGTGAAGGCTGACCGCCCGGAAGCACTCACTCTATCCCTGGGCAACAAAGCCGAGACTGCTTTCCAAAAAACAAAACAAAACCAAACAAACAAAAACAGAAAAACCCCCTAAGGATAGACATTTTCATTTATTCACTCAACAACCACTCCCGGTTGTTCTCTGGGCTGGCGCCGAGGCTCCCAAGAGTCCCCAGACTTGGGGCAGGCCTCTCAGGCGCTCCTGGGGTGGGAAGTGGCTCCAGAGCCACCCTCCTGCCTCCCGGCTGTGGGCTCGCTCGGGAGCCCGTGCCGAGGACCGCCAAGACGAGTGCACTCCTGGTGGGGGCGGCGAATGGCACGCAGTGGCGATTCCAGGCGCACCAGCCTCTGTGCCACCGGTGCTCGGGGACATGGGGGCGGGGAGGAGGCTGGAGGCCGCTGGAGCAGGCGCGCAGGGCTCTGCATGACAGCGGAGGGGTTCAGACTTGCTTGTGCAGGCAGCGGGGAGCCATGGAGGGTGTGTGAGCAGAGGGCGAGAGAGGCCGGACTGGAAACTCCGGGGAAGGATGGGGCCACGGTCCTGGGGGCAAAGGGCAGTCTCGAGCAGAGGGACAGAGCCCAGGAGCGAGGTCGAGGCGGGCGCCGGCAGGGTTGGGGTTGTGGACTTGGGCTTCCCCGAAGGCCACGAGCTGGGGGAGAGCGTGGGGAGTGCAGACAGGCGTTTGAGGACTCAAAGGGGAAGAAAGGACAGAGGAAGTGCAGTCAGAGAGGCGGGGGAACCCAGAGATGGCCGGGTCCTGCAAGGGAGGGAATAGGAACACGGCGTGACTTTGGCCACACACAAGAAGGACTGAGCTCCCTGAGAACAGCAGAAGTTTTAAGTTGGAAAAAAAAAAAAAAAAAAGCTATTCTCTGAGTGCAAAATTGAATCCAGAAACAGGCGACCTCCATGAGTTTCTGGTCCCGGAGGTTTCTACCTGTCTTCGAGGGGTTCCGCCAGGAATCGATTTGTGATGTCTGCCCAGGGCAGTGTGTGGGGAGGCAGGGCCTGCGGTGCCCAGGCTCCATGCAGAGTGCCGGGATCGGCTAGCAATGTCTGCCGTGGGCACGGGCGTGGGGAGAGGCTCCGCGGGAGCCACTTGTCCAGGATCCCGGGAGCCAGAGACATTCGTGGCCTTTCCGGGAAAGTGTGTGGAAGCCCTTTACTGCCTGGACTTCTCCAGGTGTGTCCGGGAGCTTATCTCTTGTTTCAGAACTGACGAGGGCCCTTGGTGCCAGTGACGCGTCCTGTTCTCCTGCTGGCGGCCCAGAGGCCGAATGGGAAGAGGAGGAGGAGGAGGTGAGGACCCCACGGGCTCCTGGGCCG